CACCCAGCTCACTCATTAATGCCATTCACAGAACAATCTGTGCCTCCCTGGGGACATACATGGTCCTCCTACTGCAAACACGATCTGTATTCCCGTCTGTCCCTGGCTTCCCCTCCCTCCTTCCGTGGTCTTTGTTCCCTTGCTTGCTACACTACCACCTCGAATGGATTCATTCCTCCCATCTCTGCCAGTTCTTCTCTGTCTCTGAGGCACGCCCCCCTCAACTCCACATTCAGAGCTCTCTTCTACAGGGTTTGCACTGGGTGGTGTGTCTGTTTCTGTGTTCTTAAAAGATGCGAATTCTAGGACAAGCTCCTCAGCTGTGCATGTTGGGGCACCTCGCAGTGGTGGCCAGCAGGGATGGAGTCCATTGTGCTCTCTGCATGCTGGGCTCTGCAGCTGCAGGATTCTCTGGACTTCCACCAGCGGCCTGGAAGCCCTTTGAGCCCCAGGCTCATCCATCCGTGTGCTGGTCATCTTCCTGAACGTGCAGCAAGGAACCGAGCGTGTGGCACAGACTCACCTCCTTCCTTCCAGCTGGCCTCCCAGTGTTCCCCATCCTCACTTATTTCATGACTGCCACACAAGGCAGAGAGCCAGGGGCAGATAAGCTCCAGGTTCCCTGCCACTGGCCTGCCACATCCTGTTTGACAGAGCTCAGCCTCCTCTTTCAGGCCGCCACTGTAAATTGTGCTGACCTGGTTATTTCTCTTTTCGTTTAGGCTGTCCGACTCCACGCTTGCTGCTCCCAAACCCTCACGGCTGCATGAGAAGTCCTGCTGGAAGATTACAATGGAATCCTCCTGCCCAGTGTTTGGAAACTTTCCACCATTTCCCACTGCCTACTGGGTGAAGAGTCATGTCACAACTCCGGCTTTCGCTCACTTCCATGCTCTTGCCACTGCCACGCCCATTGACTTGCCTTCCTCCTGCTGCCTTGCCCTCTGCTTGGGCTACAACCTTGGCTAGATGCCTCTGTCGTGCCCTTCCCCCCCAGAGCCTTCTATCATCCCCCATGTGCAGGTGACAGGTCCCTCCCTGGAGCGCCCACCCCACTTTGTCCCTGCCTGCAGAGCTTGTAGGTGTTGTGCCTGTCTCTGACCCCTTTGGAGCTGCAGTCTCTGAGAGCAGAGCCAGTGTCTCGGCTGGTTTTGTATGCCCACAGCCTGACCCTGGCAAGCAGGGGCAGACCCTCATCCATGAACTCCTACATGGATGTGAAAGTAAGCGGATTATCAGGGGGAGGCGACACTGATGTAAATGAGGCTTTGCACAGAAATACCTATTATGTTCAAGTGCCCGCTGGGAGAAGACAGATTAGGAATTAAGGGGCAGGAAGAAATCCAGGCAGGCTCTCAGGAGCCTTGGGTTCCGCACGGGTGTATTCTACCAGTCAGAGGGCCAAGGTGCCCAGGGGAAGACATTTTCATATGGTCTGAACATGCACAGTTTGTTTGTTTGTTTGTTTGTTTGTTTTGTTTGCTGTTGTCGCTATTCCCTGAACAACACAGAGTAACAAGTATTTACGTAGCATCGGACATCACATTGGTGTCATAACTAGGAATGACTTAAAGTCCGTGGGGGGATGACTGTAGGTTCCATGCAAACGCAACCCCTACCCTATGAAGGACAGGGGCATCGGTGGGAGTGTTTTGTTTTGTTTTGTTTTGCTTTTTATCCTGAACTTCACTTTGAGGGTGTCTGAAACTTATCCTCGGAGAGGATGGGAAGCACACAATGGTTCGTGGCAGTGAGTAGTGGGCCTGGCTTGTCCATGAACTGCCGCCTGGACACAAGGAGGGGTTGGCGTGAGACAAGCAAGTGGGGGCAGAAAGGGCAGTCCAGCAGTGAGGAACCAACGAGAGGCTTCAGGAGTTAGGATACGAGGCCTAGCAAGTATGCACAAAAGAATCGTTTCTGCTAGGCACTATGCTATAGACAGGCAGGTGACTTTCAAACGGGGGGGGGGGGGGGGGCAGGAGGGGCAGACCAACAAAACACGCCCAAGAGAAGCTGCTTGCTTCTCTTCTTGATTATGTAGCAATCTTTAATGACGCTCGGGGGCTGTTGTGAGAGGCATTTCCCATCCTGCCTTTTTCTGGTCCTTTCTACTTCCCGGGAGCATCCCAGATTCTCTGTGATGCTCTCTTCAAATACCACAGACCTCTACACAGCCCTTCTCATGGTAACCAAGCAGGTATTCATTTAAAATCTGCTTCCAGGATTGACTGTATAGCATGACACCTATGCAGTATTTGCCCAGAACATGGGGTTCAGTCCCCAGCAACACAAATGAATGAACACACACACTTCAGCGTCCCAACGCGTGCACACAGCTTTAAGAGCTGCTTTCACTGTGAGCAAATAAGCATTATGAGGGGCAAGGCCCATCTTCATGGTACATGTTTGAGCCTCAAGTATTTGTTGAATTGAACAGTGAATTCAATAGCCACATAATGAGTGAGTAAAAGCTGACTGGCCTGCATCTAGAAGGCAAAATGAAGAAGTAAAGATTACTCAGTAAATGAGAGAAAGTGAGAGGGGCCGTTCCTATGCAACCCATCAGACAACCTAGCAAATCACCACACCCTATGACCATAAGGCTGATGAACTTGCGAACCAAAATCATTTTTTGCAGCTTTGGATGTTTAAAAACAAAAACTATGTGATTTCATAACACATAAAAGTTATCCACCGTTCATAATCCAGTGTCCAAACATAAAGCCCCTTCCACCTTTACCATGCATAGTTTTATTAGAACATAGCTGCATTCACTGGTTCACATACTGTCAACATTACTGCTTGTGCTACAGTGATAAAGTTAAGTGGCTGTGACAGAGTCCACGGCCCTCCAAATCTAAACCATTTAGTGCCTGGTCTGTTAAAGAATCAGCTTGCCAACCTGAGGAGCACCCTGCATCCCACAACCCTAAGGAAGCTCTGACCTACTGATGTATGGAAGATCAGAATCCCAGAAGAAAGCCAGGAAAGGTCTGATGGTACGAAATGTTGCCACATTTCCATTCATAAGTAGAGTAGTACCTAAATTAATGGTAGCACATTTCTAATACACAGCGATTAAAAGGAACAAGGTAGATGGAAATATTCAAAGTATAGAACAATATCTATAATAAATTATTGTCATGATTTGAAGGATAGAGGTGGTAGCATTTGTAATTTATTTTTAAAACATTGGCATGTCTGCTCTTAGAAGATAGCTCTGAAAAAATGCAACCCGGGATTTTTATTGTTGATTTGAATCCCATTTTTATTCACCATTTTATTCACCATTTAACCCTGAGACTGTGCTATTCTTTAACAGAGAGAGACACACAGAAAGAAACAGAAACAGAGAGACACAGATACACCCACAGAGGGGGAAGAGGGAGAGGGAAAGGGAGAGGGAGAGGGAGAGGGAGAGGGAGAGGGAGAAAGCCTAGGAAAGGCACTTTCTTTATTCCCTCTTGCAACAGACTGGCTAACTGGAAACAAGAACAAATCCACCCAAATTCTTGCTCTTGAGCTCATCCAGTCCAAACTGCACTGCACAGATGGAAACCTGTGTTCAGACACCCACTCCCCTGGGGAACAGCACTGAGGCATCCACCCCTCAAGGGGAAGTGCATACAAACAGCCACAGGCACCCCTGCCCAGAGCAGGGCAGAGCTGCTCAAGTTTTTTTTTTTTTTTTTTTTTTTTTTTTTTTTTTTTTTAAGTATGAGATTAGAACAGTTAAAACAGCCCTACTTCCCTTTTCTTAGAAACCCTTGTCACCTCTCTTCAAAAAGGGCACCCCGCTGAGCTGGCAGATTAGGGTGCTTGTGGCAGCAGCAGTTGCCACCTCTCCACGCCTCCCTCTGGTTGGCTGCCTTCTTTTCGCTGGACCTTTTCACTGGGACCTCCCCTTATTACAGGCTCAGAATCAGAAGCCTCATTCACAACGTCCACACGCCAGGTGCCAAGATACAGCTATGATGTCATACGGGCACAGAAGACAGAAGTGAGGCTGAGACTGGACCAGCAGGCAGAAGTTTACCCTGTACCTGGGCATGCCTGTCTAGGATGCCACCAGGACCAACTTTCCTTGTGTTGCTTTTCCTGGTAAAGTCCTCAGGGATATAGGGAGGTCAGGCTTCTCAGCTGCCTTATTCTTCTGCCCTCAATCCGAGCAGTGTCTTGATTAACTCTGCACTGCACAGCATTTGATGAAGTATCTCTCATGTCCACATTCGAGATCCTGGAGTTATTTGGGAGGTCCAGGAAAATTTAACGATTTGGGTCATGGAGCTCCAGTCCTAATTCAGCTCAGGGGTATGTGGGGAGCAGCTGGCTGGGTGGATCTAGGCTTCTAATCCTAGCACCTGGAAGGCTGTCACAGGAGAACTAGCAGTCAAGACCAGTCTGGGCTATGTGGCGAATTTCAGACCAGCCTAGCCTACCAAATGAGACCCTGTTTCAAAAGAAGTTGTAGAGAAGAGAGACAGGAAAGGGAATGGGGAAGATGGGGGTGGGGTGGGGGTGGGGCAGCAGGCACCCTGTGCTAAGGGAGAGGACAAATGATTCATACATAACCCCACCATGCCCAAGTGGACAATCCACAAAACAGCAGCATGTGAGATCCTTCAGTGGAGAAAGCCTCCGAGGCTGTTTCTGAACAGTACAGCCCTAAATCCTGAGGTTGAGTTCAAACGTAGGTTGGGTGTGAGGTGTGGGGGTTTCTGGGAATCTTAGAGGACAGCTGTCCTCAGGAGCTGCTTCCAGAGCACAGACTCAGGCCCCACCCCCCAGCCCCAGGGATGAGCAGGACTCTACTGTAGTTCTCAGCAACTGTTAAACAATTCTAGAGCCGAGGGTTAAGATGCCAGGTTACCTTTCCTCAGGTTAGGTTTAGCAATAAAAAGCCCCCAAACGAGAGAAGGTGGAAAGGGAGGGAGAAAAGCTCCCCTAGGAAGAGGCAGATGTCTGGGGGTTAGGGAAGGCTGCTCCAGAGCAGGACTCACCATTGGTAGTCGTGTTGACATAGTAACGGCGGCCCTGAGGAGACAAGTAGCTGTGCCAGCCGGGTGGAAGGATGACGGTCTGGCTCTCCTCTCCCGGCGGAGGGGGGACCATCCCAGGCTTCTGTAGGAGAAGAAGGAAGGGGTCAGACACATTTGCCATTTCACGACTGTTTTGAATGACGAAATCACTTTGGAACCGCTCAAGTGGGGTAGCATGGCCTACAGGCCTCTTCTAGGGCAGGTGGCATGGAGCATGAGGTGCCCCTCAGAGAAGGCATGGCTCTCCCAGGGCAGACAGAGAGCTGCCCTTCTTCCCTCTCATACCCTGCAACAATCAGTCATGGAGCGCTGTGCTCGCGAGGGGCCCTGTCACTCCACACGCCCCGCTGAGGACTGTGCTGTGCACACCCCACAGGACCACTGAGAACAGCAGCACGGAGCCCAAGGCCTGCTGTGCAAGCCTATCGGAAATAATTAATGCAAGTCTGGGCAGAACGAGGTGTAAAACATTCTGTAATAATGCGGACAGTCTGCGAGAGCTGGGTCAGGTTTCTCTCTCCAAGTGCCCTGTCACTCCGGCAAAGGGAACCAGGGCTCTTAAGACAGAGTAGACACCACAGGCTTGATTCTTGTGACCGTGCACAAGTCTTCTAAAAAAACTAGAAGACTGCACAAGTCAGAGCATTAGGCGTAAGGCAGGCACATGCTGTAACGGCATCTGTGATTCCTCCGTGGTAGGATTATGAGAAATTTTTATTCTCCTTTTTCTACTTATCTTTTCCATGTAAATCTCTCCAATAAACACAAAAATAAAGGTTCTCAGCTAAAGAACATTTAAAAATAAAGACAGAGGATCCAAATTAGCCCACACAATTGCTGTGCCTTTTGGAGAAGGTAAATTCGCAAAAATAAGAATTCTAGCTACAGAAGGCTGAGAATTTCTCAGCAAGTCCTGTTCAGAAACATGAACGGTCACCAAGTCCTGAGTGCCCTTGGTGTCACCCACTGTGCCCACAGGACTGACTCCTTTGGTTCCCAATGGCCAACATTTAGGAAAGCAGGATCATGGTTGAAACTGAAGCAACGAAGTATATGTTCTGCTGCTCCTCTGTTGCCTGCTCAGAGGGCTTTGTCTCAGCTTCCTGCCATAGTCTTTGTGCCATAAAAGGAAAGAGCAAGTCCCAGGTGCTGCTGGGGAGTAAACATGGTCTCCCCTGGCCCTCCATGTGGTGCATGTCCTGAGGTCTCATGACTGTTGTGTCTCCTGCACAGGCACCTGCTGAACCACAGCATGTCTTGAGCATGTGTGAAAGACCACACTCTAGACAGATAATGGTGAGATTACACAGCATCCAGGCAGAAATTGGTGCGGTGTCCTCCTGGACTGCACGGACCATATGCCAAGCACAAACAAACCCGAGAGCAAGTGAGATCGGCATGCCACTCTAGCATCTCCTGGCCCGGAAGATGGCCAGGATACAGGCAAGACAAATGATGGAATGATGAGCGAAGAGAAGCTAGGTGTGATGGGCAAGCCTGTAATTCCAACACTCAGGAAGGTGGGGTGGGAAGATCATGCGTCTGAGGCCAGCCTAGACTACATAGCAAGCTCCTACCTCAAACAAAACAAAACAAAACAAAACCAAGAGCTAATGAGTGAGAAAAGAGAGAAGAAAGCAAGGGAGGCATGGAGGAGGGAAGAGAGAGTAGGAAAGAGAATCTTGCATACCCAGGACTTTGAGAATAAAGTGGTGGTGAGTGGTGGAGTCAGGGGGCTGCTGGAGAGAAATGCTTTGATGAGGATCCTGTCTTCTAGAACCAGAGGGATGAGACGTCTGATCATCTTCCCTTGACCCTGACATGAAAAAGCACCGCAGAGTGGTGCATGGTGTTGCCTAGGAGGCTACTGAGGTGGCTAGGCAAGGCTCATAGCTCACAGGAAGGCACGGCGTAGAGAGGCTCCAGGGGCAGAGAGAGGTGGTGTGAACAGCCTCAGGCTCAAGGCCCCTCTGGTGCCAACCCTACCTCAGCACACAGCTACTGCTTCACCTCAGGCAAGTGACTCAGTCAATTTCCACATCTATGGAGCAAAAGATGCTAACATTGGCCCAGGTGGGGAAAATGCTGGGGAGATCCACACCCAGGGCCCAAAAGAGGGGGGACCTCCCTGGAAGAGGGAGAGAGATGTGCTGTCCCAGGGTCTACACTCTGAGATTGGAAGTCCAGGCAGACATACTGACTTTCCTCCAACTGCCCCTTCACTATGCCCTAAACATCACTCTTGATAGTTATTCTCTGAGGTTCCTGTGGCTGAGACCACCCAAGGAGCACTCTAAAGGGAGGCCAGCACCTTCTGGAGCTGACTAATGTTGAGAAGGTTTGTCTGGGGTGTCCTGTGGGCTAGAGAGTGAGCGGACTGAGCCTTCTGGTGCCCTAGAGCCCCAGCTTTAAAGGAACTGTAAGGAACCTGGCTCTCCCCAAAACCTCAGCACTTTTCTCTTTAAAATAATGTATTTGTATAACTCGGTGAGCTCATAAGAAGCCTCAGTTTACACAAGGACATGGGTGACCATCAAGACACATTGGCTTGAGGTCTTGCCTATCTAGAGAGTGCAAGGATCTTTTTGGGATGCACAGAGGCATAGTACTGAGCCAGGGAGGCCAAAAACAGGGTGGGAGAGCACCCACTGGCTTTCTGACCTGGCCAATGTGATGTGCTGCCTGTGGTCTCCACACCTGTGAAAGAGCCACCCATCATGGGTACCCTCCCTGCTGGCCACCTGACTGCCTTGCCTCCATCTCCAGAGCTAGCTGCAGCCCTCTTGGCTTTTTCCTTCTCAGGAAGAAGTCCTTCTTGCTAGCTAAACCCCACAAATAAGGAGTCAAAAGATGCTAGAGACAGCTGAGGAGACTTCTGCCCTCAAGAATGAAAACAATCATCCCAAACATCTGCCATGAATGCCATGCATGAGCATTCAGGGCAGAACTATTCACAAAGGCCCAACAGTGGTGACATCACAAAGGATCATCCTTGAGGGTATGGATAAAACATGGGATAGCCAATCATTACTCAGAAATGAGAAGGAATAGGGTCCTGGTCGGTCCTCACTACACCATGGCTGGGCCTTAAAAATGTTGTGCTGAGTGAAGGAGGTTGGATCACAAACGTCACATGTGGTCTCATTCCATTATGTGACATGTCCAGAGCAGGCAATGATTCAGAATACACTAAAGGCTGCAGAGGGCTGGGGGGGGGGGGGAGATGGATACAGGACTTCTGTGTGTGTATATGTGTGTGTGTGTGTGCCTGTCTCTCTCTGTGTGAGTGTTTGTGAAAATGTTCTAAACTAGAGAGATGTCACAGTTACATGATATAACGAGTGTGTAAATGCTATGCATTTTCAATGCTTTACATATACATACGTCACAATAGAGACTGAAGAACATACAGCAGGGCTGGCGACACTTCTACGATTGTGGAGTACCCACATTTAGTTCCCACACCCACACGATGGCTCACCAAACAAACAAACAAACAAACAAACAAACAACACACACCCATATCCCCAGCTCCAAGGGCTCCGATGTGCTCTTCTGGGCTCCACACACTCTGCATACATGTGATGCACAGACATACATGCAAGCAAACACTCATAGGCATAAACTAAAACTAAAACTTCCAAAAATATGCAAAGGCAACATTTTAACTTCGTCACCTACCAGTCCTCATTTAAGAGCCCCAAAGCATCAGTGCATCTCACCCTTACGGCCTCGGAGGGGCAGGAACAGGAGGCCTTCCGGGAGAGCTGCCCATTGCCACCAAAAGGGTAGAGTATGGATGAACACCTAGTAATTAAAGACCCCCTTGAATTTCTTCTCTAATTAGTTCTCTCCCTAATTAAATCCTTTCATTCTCTGCTGTCTGGTTTTATGTCAACTTGACACGAGAGTGTTATTTGGAAGGGGGAAGCTCAATTGAGAAAACGCATTTTTTTTTATTTGTAATTGACTTGGGAGGGTTCATCTCACTATGCGTTGTGCCTCTCTTGGACTGGTGATCCTGGGTTCTATAAGCAAGCAAGCTGAGCACACTGTGAGGAGCAAGCCAGTAAGCAGCGCTCCTCTGTGGTCTCTAGTTCAGTTCTACTTCCAGGTTCCTGCCCTGACTTCCCTTCGTGATGGAGTGTGACCTGAGATTTGTACACTGAAATACCCCACCTCCATCCCAAGTTAATTTTGGCCTTGGTGTTTCATCACAGCAAAAATACCCTAACCAGGACATCTTCCTCCCCCTGGCCCCTGTGGCTCCTCTCCTTAGCTCTCCTGCCTCTTTCCCATGGGAAGATGAAGGAAGAGTGCTACAGTAGGGCCACGAAACCTAGAACAGACACGATCAGAGGGCAGCTGGTGAAGGTTCCGGCTAGGTGAGGCATCCTGAGTGCCGCACAGAGGATGGCTCTGCTGTACTATAAACAGTGGCTCTGCCTCTGGAAGGAGCCATCCCCAGCCCGGAGTGCAAGGCTGGGCTTCAGTCCTTCCCACTCTACATGCTTAGCTGTACACAAAAGTCATACTTGAGGATAAGAGGGAAGGTATCAGCCTTTTGTCCCTCTTCCAAACAGCTGTAAAGGTCATCTGTGATGTCACAGTAGGCAGCAAATTATGTTTTAAATTATTCTATGTAATATTATACTGTCTAAATAGACATAACACATTTGTTTATGTGTTGATGTTTTGGTGGGCACTAGCATTGTTCTCACGTTGGAGCCATTATAAATAACAAATACTGCTATAAACACTTGTACCTTACCTTACTTTATATGTAATATGAAGAAGTTTGTAAACCACTTCATAATCCTAGTCTAAGTTAGATGCTCACACCTCTGCAATCAGGGCACTCTGGAAGCTTAGGCAGGAGGATCACCTGTTCAAGGCCAGTTTGAGAATCACATGAGACTCTGCCTTCAAACACCAAAGGCTGAGAATGTAGCTCGGTGGTAGGATGTGAGTTTAGCATGTGCCTGGACCTGGATCCAATCTCTACCATAGCAAAACAAACAAACAAATAAGCAAACAAACAAACAAGCAGGAGAAAAACCCAAATGAGTCCTAGTCTAGTAG